CAACTGAATTCATCTTGTATAAGAAAACTAAGATACATCCCTGATAATCTACCTCACCCCTCCTATATTCCATCCATCAGCAAATCCTACTGGTTTTTACTTTCCAAATTTTCCTTGAATCTGTCCTCTTCTATCTCCTCCATCACCACCCTAGTCTAGGCTACCTTCACCTGGCGAGTGGGGGTGGAGGGACTACTGACCTAATCTCCTTGTGGTTTACCCATATTCCCTTTATCACTTCTCTAATCTCAACACAACAGGCAGAGTGGCTTTTTCAAAATATGATGTGACCCTGTCACTTCCCAGCCCAAACCACTTCAACACCTTCCCATTCTCTTAGACAAAACCTCCTAACTAACCAAGCCCTGAATGGCCAGGCACCTTGCCCACTTCTCCATCTCTTCTCACTACTCAGACCAATTCCATTCTGCTCTCTCTGCTCGAGCCAAACTGGCCTCTTTTATTCCCTATTTACCAGCTTCCTGGCCTCCACAGAGCTTTTGCTCGTGCTTTGCTCTGTGCCTGGAAGGTTCTTCTAACCTCTATCCTTCTGAGAACAGCTATAGTCTCCACCTCTGAAAAGCACCTTCTGACCTCCCTACAGTTGTGCCTTACTCCTATCACATTGCATGAAACTGTAATCGGGTGGTTATTTTGGGGAATTTTTTACTATCATCTAGGTAAGCCCAGGATTTGGTTTTGTTTGGCTCATGGTTTGTATTTCCACATTTGTTAGATACATATTTGTTCATAAATGAGAATGACAGATGCCAGAAGTTGAAGTAAATTTGGCATAAAGTCAGAGAAAGGTAAAATGTCACAATCTGACATTTGGAGTCAGAATGTAGAAACTTCAGTTATATTAAAACTGATTTTATATCATTTTAGGCTGGGTTGTTACAGTAACCTTTAAAACTGAGTTCTCAAAGAGCCTTGTATAAACACCTGAATTAATAATGATAAGCCATGGGATGGCCCACATAAAACTAATAACATTGGTTGCTTCAAGACAGGAAGACTGAGCCAGGCACAGTGGCTCATACCTGTAATCCAAGCACTTTGGGAGGCCAAGGCCCAGAGATCATTTGAGCTCAGGAGTTTGAAACTAGCCTGAGTAACTTAATGAGACCCTGTCTCTACACAAAATACAAGCAAAATTAGCTGGGCATGGTGGCGGACACCTGTAGTCCCAGCCATTTGGGAGGCCGAGGTCAGAGGATTGCTTTAGCCCAGAAGGTTGAGGCTGCAGTGAGCCATGATCATGCCACTGCACTACAGCCTGGACGACAGAGCAAGATCCTGTCTCAAAAAAAAAAAAAAAAAACCAGAGAGAGAGAGAGAGAGAAATGAAGACTGGTGACTGGTGGCTACTGGTGGAAAGATTTTTACGACATGCCCAAAAGGTTTAAAATTGTAACTTTTTTATTTTAAAGCCTGTGAAGATAAATGACACAAAAGAGCACATACCTTCTCATTTATTTGAAATTCTAAAAAGGGGAAAATTAATCTGTGGTGAAAAAAATCGTAACAGTGGTTCCCTCTGGCAGGGGATTGACTGGGAAGATACATGAGAGAAATTTCTGGGTGGTAAAAATGGTCTCTGTCTTGATAGGGATATGAGTCCATAAGTGTATTCATTTGTCAAAAAACATACAGGTAACATTTCAATGAAAGTAAATTTTACCTTAAAAACTGTAAGAATAAATACAAATTCAAAATCTACTAGCTACCACCTAGTTGAGTATTCAGTGTCTATGGGTATTAGCCCAGGCTATACATACACCATTTCGTTTAGTCCTCATACCGTCCTCATGGGGTAGGTATTATTGTCATAACCCCCTTGCATATGAAGAAGCCAAAATGTAGTAAATACCAAATAACTTGCCTTGATTTATACCCCTGGAAAATGGTGGAAGAGCTTTAAACACCATCAGTCAAATGCCAGAGTTGTTAAACATTAGACCCTACAGCACTTCTCTGAAATTATAGTATTTTTGGTGTGTGTGTATATATATATACACACACACACTAGATCAAGAGCTTCACAATGATTGAAATCATAGTTTGTCTTTTTGCTTGTTTGAGGTTTATGTTTTTGTTTTATTTCATTATTTTAAAGACTGAGTCTCGGCTGGGCACGGTGTCTCACGCCTGTAATCCCAGCACTTTGGGAGGCCAAGGTGGGTGGATCACTTGAGGTCAGAAGTTCAAGACCAGCCTGGCCAACATGGTGAAACCCTATCTCTACTAAAAATACAAAATTAGCCTGGCGTGGTGGCACGCACCTGTAATCCCAGTTACTCGGAAGCAGAAGTTGAGCAGCGAAAACGAAAGTGAGATAAAAGTAGTGACTCAAAAGCTTATGGCTGGCAAGATCCAGAGCAAACCAGTAAGGGCAGCTCCTCAGAGATAGGCATGCATATGAGAGAGAAAAAGTAGCCTTAAAATGATCCCGTGTGATAATCAGCTCATTAAAGCTAATGCATATAGACTGCATATCATGGATATACTTAAAATTATGGGATGAAAATGATGCGGAAGTGCACAGGCGCCAAAGTAACTAAGCAACCCACCTATCAATCAGAAGGCACATGCTGGGTAGAGATTAGGCAGCCCCAGGAAAAGCAGAAAAAAAAAAAGTATAGAAAGACTCAAAGCCCAAAGTTCACCAAACTTACATTGATCTCATTTGCAGAGGTCAGCCCATTCTCCCCTCTCTGAGAGTGTTACTGTGCTTAATAAGTCTTTTGCTGCTTTGCTACATGTGTGTGTCATGTCCAATTCTTTGTTTGAGACACCGAGAACCTGGGACTTCAGAACACCAGCCGGTAACAAAGGTGTGTAAGCTCAGGAGGGAGGAAAGAAAGGGGAAGGGGGCTAGAGCAGATTCAGACATGAGATGCATTCACCCTATGAAGTGAACCTGGGTCTCCAGCGTGGGAGTTGACAATTCTATTACTGAACCATCAGTGTTCCATGTGGTATAACCTCTCATGGGTTAAAAAACAAAAAACAAAAAAAAAAACTCTAGTGTTATGAGCAGACATGAAGGGGCAGGGGGGATGGAGGTGGGAATGTTCTATAGTAGGCTTACACAGATGTCTTTGGAAAACAGAGCTAACAAAGCAACAGGCACTTAAAGCAAAGGCTTGTCCTAAACCTCCTGTTGTTTGCCATGGGAAGAAATCTTGGAGTGAAATTTTCACTTTCTCTCTTGTGCAGATCTCTGTAAGACACAAAAGTTTGGAAGACAGTCATTTTGATCCCTGGACTTTTCTAGAGACTCAAAAGACGCATCTGAGGAGAAAAGCTCTGGGTCCCTGGGATAAATGTGCCACTCGACATGCCTCCTGGAGTGGCCAAAGACAGTGTGGTTAAGAAAAGAAATATTGGAGTGAATTTTCACTCACTCCCACTTTTGTAGATTTCTTAAAAACATGAGTTTAGAAGCAAGATACTTGGCTTTTTCACATGACTCAAAAGAGGTGTAGATGAAGAGAAGCTTGAACATCCAACAGATCTTCTGGAGTAACCTGAACACATCCCTAAATCTCCAGCTCCTGGGTCTTTGAAAGCCTGTTTAGGGAAAGAATTGGTGATTGTCTCAAGGTTGGGAGGAAAGGGTTTGGGAAGCACCAAGACATGGGTTGGCAAAAAGATTACATCATCAGTGAGGAAATGAAATTTCCAGAGGTTTTTGCCAGATCTAGGACCAGAGACAAAGGCCTGGATGAATTTCCTGTGTATTTCTATAGAGGTCTGTTATCTAGTTGTATAGAGCCTGTTTCACAATTAGGCTCTTTCAAATCCGGTGTGTTGATTTAAATGCATTATAAATAACTTGATAATGTTGCCTGACATACGTCCTCTATGCAAGACTTTGCTCTGGGTGTCCTTTCTGTTCGCTCGCTGTGTCTACTCAAGAGTCCTATACAAACCTATTTTAGAAACACCACTTCAAAGTCCTTCCAGAGACTCTTCAAAATTAGATCTAGTGAAGCCGCACCCGCATTGGTAGTTCAGCGGTGGCGTTCTCCCTACCCACGTGGGAGACCTGGGTTCAACTCCCGGCCAAAGCAGGCCTTTTTACCCTTCATGCTCCAAGTTCATGCTCGAAGGGCTGTTACATGTCTACCCACCAAAGTTATTGTACTACACAGGCTGTACAGCATTTAGGGGCCTTGGGTCCTGGTGGCTGGAAGCTAACCCAAGTGGCGGGCCACCTCTGGAGTGTTTTCTGTGCTGGATCTAATCTTGAATTTAAAGTTCCTCTGCTCAAAGCCTGTCTTTGAAAGTGGGGGTGTTTCTGGTGGGTTGCTGCAGTTTGGAATACTGGGAACTAAATAAAGCCTTTGCTACTTTCATCTAGTCTCCGGGCAAATCCCTGGGTAACCCAAAGGCCATCAGATGGATTCCCATGCTGGGCTTTCCCCTACCTTAGACCACATCTCACTATGGAGTGAGGATCAAGAAGTAAAGGTCCGGAAAGGAGAGAAGCTGCGGGGGCCAGGGAGACTCTTCCTTGGTCAGAGAGGCGTCAGTGGCCCAAGGAAAGGGAGGATTGTGAGGAGGTATCCGCCTAGAGATGAGGGGAGCAGCAGAGACAGAGTCTCATGCACAGGTGTGCCCAGACACCCTGAACCAAGTTACTTAACCTCATCAACCACTGTGGCATCCACAGGGTCTGTGGGGCCGTCGGTCTTCCGGGAGGGATTCTGTGTCCCTGTTATTGTGTGTCAACAGGTGTTAGCCTGATATTTATATTTTCAATGAGAGAAAACGAACTCCAGAATTTGGAAACTGTTTTTCCGGCTTTGCTTTATACCTCTTGGACACTCCTTCGAAGGATTGGATCTGAGGGGCACTGGGGTGTGACTATGGTAGACAAGGGATGATTAATTTTCATCCAAAAATCTTTGGCGGATTCTCCCACTCTCCGGCTCCCCAGTCTAACAGTAGTTTAAAACAGAAAATCAGCAGCATTTGGAGAGGTTTTTTTCCTTTGCGTTTTAATAATAAACTTGATTTATTCAATTCTAAAAGTTTTCTTATTCTGAGGTTGTCTTTCTATATTTTGAGTATAAAATGATGGCCATACTATGTTGGACCCACCAAGGTTCTTCTCTTCACTTGTTTATTTGTAATGTCTCTTTGTAATCTGAAAATTTCCTGAGTAAACTGGGAACTGTTATACATAATTCCTTGCTTTTGAACATTCTTTGTAAACAGGAATCAGAATTGGGGGTGAGGAGGGAGGGAGGACTAGGAGTGCTGATTTGTGTAACAGAAAATCAGGGATTACTTATGTGATGGAGCAAAGGGTTTAAAAACTCTTAGCTTCTGCAAATTTCCCCTTTTACTGTTTGCTGAAGAAAATTCTGTCTTTGACTCCCGTCCTTACCTTCTCCTGGCCTGTGAGAAGCTTCCTCCCTATTCAGTTTATTTCCTCCTCCCCTCCCCTCCCCTTCCCACCGCCCCACCCCCCACCCCGCAGCCCCCTCCCCTTTTTCAGTGCAGCTGCTGGAGGAAAGTCGGGTTTGGGAGAAGACCCACACAGGCAAGAACAGCAGGAGAACACTGACATGGTTACACTCTTGTCGCCAGCACTGTCATTAAGACGTCGTGAAAAGACACAGTCAACAGAGGAGAGCAGAGAATAATATCTCCGTTTCAGCGATTCCAGGATGTTGTGCCAATTGTCCAGAGTCCTTGATCCGATGTGGTAAAGAGCTAGGGACATTTTCCCTGAAGGCTTTGACTGCTGGCAAAATCTCATTAAAGGTGTATACATTGATAGGTTAGCCACAGGATGGGTAAAAGAAGAGCCTCTGTCCTACATCTGCCAAGGTATATGTGTAAGAATACATTCTGCGGCATTATTTTTTATTGTAAAATAGCAGAACGAATTTATTACTCAATAATTACAAAGTGTTCAAATGTATGTGACTATATACGGACGATGAAAAACGCAGCTGTTAAAAAGACAATACTGATGACTCAGATGATGTTACTGATGAAAATAATAACATGACAATTACTGAGCATTTATGGCACTCTTGCATGCATTACCTTATTTAAAGTTCAGAACAACCAAGGAAATCAGTAACTTGTGGCGGGCGTGAGAGGTTCCGAGGCACAAAAGGAAGATAGGCATTCAATGAACACCAGGATAGAAGACCCGCAGTAGGAGAAGCGAGAGGAAGAGGAGTCCGCCAGGTGGGATGCTGCAAGCCGCTGGATAGCTCGGCGGAGAGAGGGCGCTCCCGCTCCGCGAGCCTCCCTGCGATCGCAGGCCTCGGGCCACCTTCTTCCAGGAAGACGCACCCTCCTTTCCTCTGGTCTCGGTTGAGACGCTGCAAAGCGCATCGTCCTCGAGCATTTCTCCTCTCCCCCAAGACCCTCCAAAGGAAGGATGGGCGGACGGAAACTTAACCCCGAAGTGGTCAAACGCGCAGAGCTCCGGCTTCCGCGGGAGCATTTCCCGAGCGTCTTTCATGGGTAAGAGTGGGCCCTGCAGGATAATGCCTCCCGTTCCCTGAGGAGCAGTGCGGGAGATGCCCATGTGGCCAGCTCCTGGGCCACGCGACCCAGGCCCTCCAGGAGGAGCGAGGAGTCCTGGGCCCTGAGCCAGCCCCCTGGACCGGCTGCGCCAAGAGAAGCAGCAAGGGAAGGTGTCTCTGTCCTCCTGGTGTTAAGAGACGTCTATCCGACTCCCTCTACAAGTGCTGTAGAGGAGGCTAGGTCTTTCCCACGGGCTGGGGACCTTGCTGTTCCAAGGACGGCTGGGGAGGAAGAGGAGGCAGAGGCGGAAGAGGAAGCCAGCTGAGATGTGTGAAGCAGCTCTGGCTACAGCGGGTAGGGAGAGGGCGCGCGGGACCCAGGAGCCTCCGTGCGGAGCCAGGCCTCAGGAGCAGCCGCCTTGTTCCTGAAACGGATACCTCCATCCATCTGGTCTCCAAAGACTGTAGGGAGACCTTCTCGCCCCGTAGGAAGGCGACGTCTCCCATGCTTTCCCACCACGCAGGCCTTGTGTCCTTTCTCCTGCCAGTGGCGGCCCGCCAGCCTGCAGGGGATGCAGCTGCCGCGGTTCCACGCTCGGTGGACGCTGCCAGCCGGCGAGCCAAGAGCCGCGGTTGCAGGCGGGAGTTGGGGAGTTGTGTGCAGGTCCGAAGGAAACCCAAGCTCTTGGTCAGGGCTTTTTTGCTATAGCCAAATTCAGCGTGTAAAAGAGAGCTCACATCTAAGGAAGCGCACTCAAGATCCCTAGGAGGGTGTGAAGGGTCTGTGGCGGCGATATCCGCATCGGCGGTGAGCCAAGGCATGTCAGGAGAGTGAGTGCGCGAACCCAGCCGCAGGGTAGCACGAACAGCACCGCAGACGAGGGCCCCGCGTGTGGGGAAATCGCAGGGGTCAGCGCAGCCGAAGTGCGGTGGACTAGCCTAGTCCAGGGAGAACCCCTTTCCTGTGGAGGAGGACACCACAGCCTCCTCTCCCCTGGCCGGGCGCTCAGGGTCACCACCTTCCCCTCTGCTCTTCCCTCGCCATTCTTCCAAACCACTCTCCGCCAAAGATTCCACTGACAGTCACCCTCCGGACAACCCAGGCCTCCTTTCAGCAGCGGCTCCCGCCCGGAAGCCACCGCGCCCTCTCACCCCAGCGGTTCTGCCCGCCGCCTCTGCCGAGTCTGTGCACTTCACCTCCCTGGCTCCCGCTCTCCCCTGAGCTTACAGTGGACGAGGGTCAGGACGGGGCGAAGGCCATCTGGCTGCCCTTCTAGCTTCAGAATCACCCAATGCACGGGTGTCCACCGTAGCCGGCAAGATGCGTCTCTCCGGTTTTCCGAGGCTTTGGAGCCTGCACAATAGTTCTACAAAAGGCGGTGGCTCCGCCTCGTGTTGGATGGGCGTGTGTTCGGCATGGTGATGCGGGAGTGAGGGTCGACTGTCCCTGTGTCGCAGTCGGGTGGTGTGCTTGCTTCCAAGTCTAAAGTTGGCTAGTTCAAGCCAGTTCTATGGAGCGTTTCTTGCATTTTAAAAATGCTTAAACCGCTGGCAACTTTCTTCTATCCAGCACATGCTCTCATGGAAAGGCAGAACAAGACCAACTTTACCCTCCTCTCCTCCATGTCTCCCATACGACATGAGAACGTAAATCAAGGTCTGCTAAGGTTCTGGGATCTCTCTCTCTCTCTCTCTCTCTCTCTCTCTCTCTCTCTCTCTCTCGACGGAGTCTCACTCTGTCACCAGGCTGGAGTGCAGTGGCGCGATCTCGGCTCATTGCAACCTCCGACTCTCTAGTTCAAGCTATTATCCTGCCTCAGCCTCCCGAGTAGCTGGGATTATAGGCACGCTCCACCACGCCCAGCTAATTTTTGTATTTTTAGTAGAGACAGGGTTTCACCATGTTGGTCAGGATGGTCTCAATCTCCTGCCTTGGCCATCCAAAGTCCTGGGATTACAGGCCTGAGCCACCGTGCCCGGGCCCTCTCTCTCTCTCTATTTTTATTTTAACTGCCATTCATTTAGCCCTTTCCACACACTTTTGAAGTTAAATTGGTTGTATGATTTTACGATTACATATAATGCTCTAGTCATTCTTATACGGGCATTTTCAGCCACTGGTGTATTTCTACTGGACAGAAGTGCAATTACTATAGGAAGGGCAATTATCATAGTGTTCACACGGTTTTTATATCATTCCATTCTTTCTCCTCTGTTGACTTATTAGCTATAACTCTTTCTTTTGTTATTTTAGTAATTGCCTTAGGGCTTAAAGCAAACCTTTTTAACTGATCACAGTCAGCCTTCAAGTGATATTACACCTCGCCTTCTGGCCTTGACGCTATTGCTGACATGCACTTTGCTTTTATGCATATTATAAACCCCACAACACATTGTTATTGCTTTTGTTTGGAAGGTCAAATTTTTACAAAAGAAATTTACAAAATGAGAAAATACCTAGTATAGTTACCCATTTCTGCTGTTCTTCATTTCCTCGTGTAGATCTGGATTTTCATCTGGTATTGGATTCCTTCTGCCTGGAGGACTGCTTTGATGTTTCTTGTAGTGTGGGCGGGCTGGTAGTGAATTCGGTCAGCTTTTGTACATCTCTAAATGTCCTTATTTCACTTCCAGTTTTGGGAATTTATTTTTTCTGGCATAGTATTCTAGGCTAACTTCCCCTGCCCCCAGTACCTTAAAGATGTTGCTTCTCTGCTCTCGTGCATTGCTGCTTCTGGTAGAGGCCGGCAGGAGCAGAAAGGAAGCTGACGCAATCCTCATCTTTGTTCCTGTGTATGTGCAATGTCTTTTTCTTCTGGCCGGATTTGAGCAATGTTATTTTGATGGATCTGGGAGTGGTTTTCTTCATGTTTCTTGTGCTTCGGTTTCCTCGGCTCCTTGGGTCACTGGATTTATAATTTTCATTATGATTGGGAACTTTTCAGCTATTGTTTCTTCAGAAATTGGCCAGGCACAGTGGCTCACACCTTCAGGAGGCCGAATCGGGAGATGTTGAGTGAGGCCTGGAATTGAGACCAGCCTGCACAACATGCTGAGACCCCATTCCTAACAAAAATAACAAAGAAAGAAAATAAATGTTTCCTTTCCTCCCGCTCCTTTTCAAGGACTCCCGTTACTCATAAATTAGGCCTCTTAAGTCTGCCCTACAGTTCACTGATAATCTTTTCATTTAAAAAAAAACTCTTTTGTCTGTGAGTTTCATTTTGCATATTTTCAATTACTCATGGTTCCATGTTCCCTGATCATTTCTTCTGCAACATCTAATCTGCTGTTAATCCCATCAACGAATTTATCATCTCTGATATTTTGGTTTTGTCTTGCTTGTTTGCTAGCTTGCTTGCTTGCTTGCTTTCTGTCTTTTTCTTTTTTTAGAAGGAGACTCACTCTATCACCCAGGCTGGAGTGCAGTGGCGCAATATTGGCTCACTGCAACCTCCGCCTCCCGCGTTCAAGCATTCTCCTTCTTCAGCCTCCAGAGTATCTGGGACTACAGGCGTGTGCCATGACACCCAGCTAATTTTTTGTATTTTTAGTAGAGACGGGTGACACCCAGCTAATTTTTTGTATTTTTAGTAGAGGCAGGGGTTTCACCGTATTAGCCAAGACGGTCTCAATTTCCTGACCTTGTCATCTACCCGCCTCAGCCTCCCAAAGTGCTGGGATTACAGGCATGAGCCACTGCGCCCACCTGTCTCTTTCCTTCCTTCCTTCCTTCCTTCCTTCCTTCCTTGCATTCATGAGACAGGGAATTCAGTGGTGTAATCTTGGCTCACTGCAACCTCTTCCTCCCAGACTCAAATGATCCTCCCACTGCACACATCAACACTCCCGGCTAATTATTTGTATTTTTTTGGTAGAGATGAGGTTTTGTCATGTTGCCCAGTCTGGTCTGAAACACCTGAGCTCAAGGGATTGGCCCACCTTGGCCTCCCAAAGTGCTGAGATTACAGCGCAGTGCTTTTCAAGCCATGAAAGAAAATAATTGTCAGCCCAGACTCCTCTCTCCAGCAGAAACATCTTTCAGTAATTAAAGGGAGGATCAAAACAGTTTCAGACTAAAAAAAAGCTAAGTGAATCTCTGACCAGCAGTTCTACCCTAAAAGAAAGGCTAAGGGGAGTTCTGTAGACAGAAAGGAAATGATTAAAGAAGGAACCTTAGGACAAAAGAAAGAAAGAAGGAAAGAAAGAAAGTGAGAAAGAAAGAAAGAAAGAAAGAAAGAAAGAAAGAAAGAAAGAAAGAAAGAAAGAAAGAAAGAAAGAAAGAAAGAAAAGAAGGAAGGGAGGGAGGAAGGAAAAGAGAGAGAGAAAGAAAGGAAGGAAAGAAGGAAGGAAGGAAGGAAGGAAGGAAGGAAGGAAGGAAGGAAGGAAGGAAGGAAGGAAGGAAGGAAACAGTAAGCAAAATAGGCCTTTCTTCTCTTGAGTTTTCTAAACTATGCTTGATGGTTTCAGAGAAAATCATAGCACCATTCAATGTGGTTCTAACTCTTCATAAAGAAAATGTTTGAAACAATTTAAGCTGGGAGGGTAAAGAGACCTGCAAGGGAAGTAACTCATCTATCATTCACTCAAACTGGTAAAACAATTACACCAGTATACTGTGTGGTAAAATACAGATGCACAGACATATGAATGTCTGGAAAATCCAAGAGTTTTCAAACAGATATACTCAAAAACGCTATAGATAAGGCAAAACACCATTCTCAAAGATGTTCAAGTCACCACAGGAAGGTAAGAAAATGAAAGTACATCCAGAAAACAAAATCAGGGAGAACAAACAGAAAAGGAAAAATAAAATGGCAGACTTAAGCCCTACCATATCAATCATCACAATTAAATATCAATATCAATGGCCTAAGCACACCAATTGTAAGATACACACTGGCAGAGTACGTTAATGGACATGAGCCAACTACATACTGGCTACAAAGAAACTACCTTCAAATATGATACAAGCAAGTTGAAATCAAAAGGATGGGAAAAGATATCATGCAAACCTTAGCCAAAGGAAAGCAAGATTGGCTATATTAATGCCAGATACAGTATATTTCAGAAAAAAGAAACTAATCAGAGACAGAGAGGGAGATTATTTAATGAGGAAAGGACCAATCCACCAACTCCTCCTCTGACAAATTCATAAATGTCTTTGCAACAACAACTGAAAGTACTTAACAGAGAACTAGACTAATCCACAAATACAGCTGTATGCTTCAATGTCCCCCTTTCTCAACAATTTATACAACAACCAGACAGAAAATCAACAAGAATGTAGAACCCAGCAACGCGATCAACCAGCAGGACTTAAATTGACAATTTTAGAACACCCAACCACACCAGAATATACATTTTTATGGGATGCATCGTGCCCAGCCCCCCCAAATTCATATGTTGAAATCAGAACATTATTAACCACTAGTGATATACTAATTAAAACAACGAGAAATTGCTACATACTTATCAGAATGGTCAAAATAAAAGTGTGACCACATCAAGTGCTGTCAAGGATTCAGAGAAAGCTGGATCACTCATACATTGCTGGTGGGAATGTAAAAGATTACAGCCCACTCTGGAGAATAACTGT